GTGTTATGCACAAACAATGAATCATGGAACACTACATCAAAAACTAATGATGTAATGTATGGTGATTAACATAATAATTAAAAAAAATGAAAAAAAAAGAGGTGAGAACTGTGACAAGAAGATGAGACTGGGAGGTGGGAGACCAGTTGTTTGAAAAAGCTTGTTCAGTATAAAATACATATTATGTTCATAATGAAAATTCAAAGTTAATGGAACAAAATGTTTTTTGCTACGGATAACTCTTAATTCTTCAATTTTGTGGTTTTTAATGGGAGGAAGAGGGCTTGAGATTTTTGCGTTTAATAAAAAGAATTATGTATTTCAAATACTGGCCTAGGGGCATCTGGGTGCTCAGTCGTTAAGTGTCTGCCTTTGGCTCAGGTCATGATTCCAGCATCCTGGGATCCAGCCCTGCATTTGGCTCCCTGCTCAGTGGGGAGCCTGCTTCTCCCTCTCTCACTCCCCCTGCTTGTATTCCCTCTCTCGCTGTATCTCTCTCTGTCAAATAAATAAATTAAATTAAATTAAATACTGGCCTAAAAAATGACTTTTCCTGTAGGAAATAAAATATCACTGCCCTCTTTGCTCAGTCAGGATCAGCAACAGGGTAAGATAAGGGAGGCTAGAAATTAACTTAAAAAAAAAAAAAACAAGGGCTCCTGGGTGGCTCAGTCGTTAAGCATCTGCCTTCGGCTCAGGTCATGATCCCAGGGTCCTGGGGTCGAGCCCCACATCAGGCTCCCTGCTCAGTGGGGAGCCTGCTTCTCCCTTTCCCACTTCCCCTGCTTGTGTTCCCTCTCTCGCTGTGTCTCTGTCAAATAAATAAATAAAATCTTTAAAAAAAATAGTAGAAAGGAGATGATTTCATATAGCCTTGAAATAATCCAGTAATTAACAAATAAGTAGTGTGTTAACAGTGAAAACAGAAGAGAATGCATGAAGGAGCATTCTGAATATAGAAATGACTTAACTTCACGCCTCATCACAAGGGCTGAGGCAGACCTTCAGGGTTTGGAAGAGAGAGAATGGTAGGCCCACTGACAGAAATGTGAAGCTGGGAGTGGGACATGGTTTACAGTGGAAGAAAATTAGTTTAGTATTGAGAATATTGCCTTTGGGATGATCTGGTAACTTCTTAAATGCTCAGCTTCATCTCTGACTCTTTTCCATGCAGCCCTTAAGACTCCAATCACACTGAACCATTTGCTGCTGCCTTTTCACATTATGTTTTCAAACCCCTAGGCGCCTTCATATATGTTCAGCCTTCTACTAGGGATACTTGCCCTCTCATTTCCCCTTCAGTCCAAGGCAGGCACGCCCTATGTATCAGTCCCATGGCAACTTATACACACATCTATCATGCTATATTTTATATTGCCTGTGACGTTCTGTCACCAACTTGAAGGCAAAGACTCTATCATTCTCATATTCTTTGCACAAGGCACACATACAGTTGGCTCTGAATAAAAATACACTAAACAGCTATAATGGGTAATGATCAGAAGTAGGGAGGGTATGATACCCAAGATACTGGCATTAGAGATGGTAACTTAAGCCAGGGGAATCCAACAGTTCAGAAACAGCCTAAAATCAAAAGTAACAGACAAAACAATCAGCTAACGACTAAATATCCATAATGAAATTGTGAACAGAGACTGAAGGAGAGAAAGGAAGAGAGGATGACTACATGCTCTAGAGGGCAGGAGTTGTGTCCGTTTTGTTCAGCAGCACACAACAGTCATTCTTGCAAAAGAATGAACAACAGAGAAGTAGGGCAATGTTGTGATACAAAAGCCAAGAGAAGTAGCTTAGAGTAACAAGTCTATATCCGGGCAAAGGTAGGATGTCAAATACTAAGACATCAAGGAGAGTGAGAACTGAGTGGTCTCTAAGGTCTGAGGAAAAAGGGATCTTTGGTCACCACCCTTTTATCATAATATTATACCACCTCCACTAACAGAGCAATATCTTTATGAAGAAACTTCAATAATGAACTTCAGTACTGGGTTGTCAATGTCTAAGCATGAGTATCTTTCTTCAAGTTAAATATATCACAGTTATTTCCTCTACTGCTCATACATTTTATATATACCTATGTATACAAGCACATCCCTATGAACTGAATTCTGTGGCCCCCAGAATTCTTATTTTGGAGCTCTAACCTCCAATTTTATCATATTTGGAGACAGGTTTTTTAGGAGGTAATTAGGGTTAAATGAGGTCATAAATCTAGTAACTTAATCCAGTTAACACTGGTCTCATAAGAAGAGGAAAACAAAGAGATCTCTCTCTCTCTCCATGTCACGCACCAAGGAAAGGCCATGACAGGAAAATGCAGCCATCTATAGGCCAGGAAGAGAGTCCTCACCTGAACCCAATCATGCTGGCATCCCAATATCAGAATTCTAGCCTCCAGAACTGTGAAAAACTAAACTTCTGTTGCTTAAGCCACCCAGTCTATGGCATACAGTTACAGCAGCCCAAGAAGACTAAGACAGATCACAAACATATACGTACACACACAGACAGAGGCAAATCTAATCCCCCAGAGTAAACAAATATCTCTATTTTAAAAAGCAATGGAATGGGGTGGTTGGGTGAGGGACATTGGGGAGGGTATGTGCTGTGGTATGTGCTGTGTATTGTGTAAGACTGATGAATCACAGACCTGTACCCCTGAAACAAATAATACATTATATATTAATTTAAAAAGGGGAGGGAAAAGCAATGGAATATTTTCTGCTACAGAGATTCTTCTTTTTTTTTTTTAAGATTTTATTTATTTATTTGACAGAGAGAGACACAGCGAGAGGGGGAACACAAGCAGGGGGAATGGGAGAGGGAGAAGTAGGCTTCCTGTTGAGCAGGGAGCCCGATGTGGGGCTCGATCCCAGGACCCTGGAATCATGACCTGAGTCGAAGGCAGATGCTTAACAACTGAGACACCCAGGCGCCCTGAGACTATTTTCAATAGTAATTTTTTGGGATAGTAATGGAGAGTACTGTGTCCAAGTTAGTATTATAGGAAGATGCTTCTCGAAATAAACCCTTTCACAGAATAGGTATATCCTTATATAAAGGACATAGAAACTATTTTTGACCCTAATCATAATTCTAGGGTATTTTTTTCTTAATTAAAATTTCCATACGAGAAGTCACTTTTTAAAAGTTCTTGCTAAACATCTTTCAGTCTTCTAAACACATTGTTAGCTACTATATGTCTGGTCTTAGTGCATCCCTTCTAAGACACACTGAGGAAGACAGATAAATGAATACCTCGATAGATAAATATGCTTCCTATATTCTCCTTCAATCAAGTGATAATTGAAATTTCTCCTATATTAGATATAGTACATATATCCTTAAAGACATGGTATTACAAAATATTCCAAAAGAATAAATGGAATTAATCTCAAATGCATTTTAAAGAGAAACCAATGTCAATTTTTAGTATGCAGAAGCACCAGGTTTTTCAGGGCTCTTTGCAAAGGGACTTGGCACAAAGTTGTAGCAAACCAGTAGCTGCAGTTGCACCAGCTTCAGGATGTTTCCCATGGCCAAAAATGCTCTAAGTTGTCTCCAAGATCAAAGCATGCAGCAAAGGACACCTAGGTGGCTCATTTGGTTAAGCGTCTGCCTTCAGCTCAGGTCATGATCCCAGGGTCCTGGGATGGAGCCCCGCACCGGGCTCCCTGCTCAGCCAGGAGCCCGCTTCTCCTTCTGCCTGCCGCTCCTGCTTGTGCATGCGCACTTGTGCATGCACCCTCTCTCTCTGACAAATAAATAAAATCTTAAAACAAAAACAAAGCATGCAGCAAGCAATGGCAATGCAGAACCACCAGGAACAGACACCTGATTTCCATTACAAATATGGTAACACTGTATTAGCTAGTGGAGCCACTTTCTGTGTTGCTTTGTGTGCATATGCAGCAACACAAACTGGAATAGAATGCATTTTGTCCCCTGCTGGCAGCATCACCCCAAAGGAATGGAGAGATCAGTAGTAATCACCCCAGCTGGTGTAATACTGAACTGTTTCAAAACCAACTCATAATTGATACCAAGTAAAAGCAGTGTGCACCCATTAAAATATGGCATGACTGAAGAAATAAAGCACATCTGAAACCTTAAAAAAATAAATCGAAGCAATAGTTTTAAAAAAAAGTGCTAAATTTACTTTATGAAAATAATGAACTAAAAATCTAGACATTATTAAAGTGATTAAATGGACTTCAGTACATACTACCTCCCCCTATTTTCTCAAAAAATCCTATTTCAGACATCTAAGTAAATATTATGCTATCCAGGGAAATTCAAATGTCTATTCTCTTGAAAATCTCCCCTTCTTATTCATTCAGACATTTCAATTCCTATTATATAGCAGCCACAGTGCCAGGGGAAAAAAAAAAAAGGGAAAAAAGACTGGAAGGGGGGACAAATGAATAAGAGTTCACCAAAAATGTTTAATAAAAAAGATAGTGCTACAGGAAAGTAACAACTATAATTACAAGCAAAAGTGAAGCTTAGACAATGCAGCAATCAGGACCCCAGCAGGAAACAGCACCCTTAAACTGGGTAATTTAAGAAGAGCTTAATAAAGGACTATTTGCAAGGTATGGAAGATGGTCAGAGTCAAGAGACAGTACATCTCCTGAAGCTGCTACTACCCCTAAGCCTTAAAAGTACAAAGAGAGCAGCTTCATAAGAACTGTGACCTCTGGGAAAGCCAACAAGACATAAAGTGGCAGGAGGAAGCCAGAAGAATAAACACAGCAACCCTCCTCTCCTCCTGCCAATGTTTCCCATTGTCTAAACACAAATCTAGAAGTCAAAGGGCAAGGTCAGCCTCCTCATACTGAGGGCAGGGCAGTCAATGATGGGAACAGGTCCACAGAAGGAAATGGAATATATCCAAACCATGTATCAGGACAAGGGAAGACCAGTAAGGATCTCACCATGGAACAGATAATAACTAAAAGTGCATAACTGTGGAGAGCTTCATAAACGGACTATTTACAGAATCTATACTGAAACTATCTACTAGGAACTTTGAATTTTATTCTTGACTAACAGGAGACACACAATCCAATCTGTGTTTTACTAGGGGGGAAAAACTCTGAGAAGAGCCATATAAAGGAAAAAGCAGTGTGAAGTTAGAATAGAGGGAAAGTTTAGAGCCAAGAAACACAGATGTATATGAGAGATGCTGAGGGCCTGAAATAGAGAAGTAACAGCAAGAACAGAAGAAACAGATTCTAAAAATGTTTAGGAGAGAACTATGGGCCATTTCTCTCTATATGTATCCATGGATATGTGTCTTTCAATTACACACACACACACGTCTACCTACCTACATTCAGCCTTTGGTATCTCTCCATAATACATTTTTCACTTTTCCTTTGACTAGATGACTATCTGTTAGCATTCCTTCCACAATCCCGCTTATTATAAGTACTTCAAGGAATATTTGTTGAATGAATAAATGAACAAATGAATAAACAAGTGAGCAAAAGCCTCTGAGGTACATAAAACCTTTGTGTAACCATAAACTTAGGTTTTCAAACGTTTTAAGTAACTTGAGTCTTTTGGAAAGAAAAATTTAAACAAACAAATCAAGAAAAGACCCAAAAACAAAAACAGAAAACGGATTAACAATCTGAAGTTCAAAAACATGCTAGGGAAGCACTTCCAATTCTATATTCTAACAACTACTTCTCAAGCATGTTTTCCACTAGGAATGCAAAGTGCTAACAAAGATAAACAGGCTGATATACCCATGTTATTGCTACAAGAAATTTATAGTTCTATCATCTCCTGGAATCCTGAGGGCAATGCCTGTACAGTACAGCATTACCTCCATACAAAGCTTCAGACTTGGCTATTGTGAAAGCCCTTCTCCTGGCAGCACTCCTTACTCTTTTCTCAGGGAGAAAAGAAGTTGGGGCCCCAAACCAATCGTCTCCACTGATTCACCCAAAACAGAGGCCCACAACTTTCCTGCAGAAAAGCATAAGGATCAGATGTGAAAAAGAGATGATGAAAAGTATAAAGCATTAATACTTCAAGACAGGACTTTACAAATAATTAACAATCAGCTCCAGATCCATCTTTTCCTAGACTCTTGTCTAGAACCACTAGAAACAATCAGATCTGAAACTTTATCACAAAGCACACATTCACCTACCCTACCCATAACAGTAGTGCTGGATTTCCAATCTCAGCACCTGCCTCTAAGCATTTTCAAAGTTAGCAAAGAACTTTGTTCCAAGATTCCCACATAAAATGTTTTCACATACTGTACAACTCTATAGTACATACTATACTATGCACTCTCAGTAAAAGGATAAATCATAATGTGGTGTCTTATTCACCAATAAAAAATATTTGCTTACTGGAAGCACCTAAAATAATTGGGGCAGCCTAACTTACAAGACTCTTAAATAGCCATCCTGCTAGTCTTGCAGCAATTTATAAACCCAAATTACAAAACACAAACATCCTTAGGAGAAAGGTTTCCTTTATAATGAAAAGATTAATGCCATGGTTGTGGATTTTTACTGTGAATCCTTATAGTTTTCACTACTCAAAACAAACAGTTAATCATCTTCCATGGCCCTTCTCATATATGTCCAAGAAGAAGAATAAAAACTAACATGTAGTCCTAAAGTATATTTTGTTCTTGAAGCCTTTAACTCCTTTTTTCATGTGCCAAGAATCGCTTAAAGAGATCTTTTGGGGGGGCTTTTTAAAATTGTTTTTATTAACATATAATGTATTATTTGTTTCAGGGGTACAGGTCTGTGATTCATCAGTCTTTACACAATTCACAGCACTCACCATAGCACATACCCTCCCCAATGTCCATCACCCAGTCACCCATCCCTCCCACCCCCCCTCCACTCCAGCAACCCTCAGTTTGTTTCCTGAGATTGAGTCTCTTATAGTTTGTTTCCCTCTCTGGTTTCATTTTGTTTCATTTTTCCCTTACTTCCCCTATGATCCTCTGTCTTATTTCTCAAATTCTTCATATCAGTGAGATCATATACTTGTCTTTCTCTGATTGACTTATTTCACTTAGCATAATACCCTCTAGTTCCATCCACATCACTGCAAATGGCAAGCTTTCATTTTTTGATGGCTGCATAATATTCCATTGTATATATATACCACATCTTCTTTATCCACTCATCTGTTTATGGACATCTAGGCTCTTTCCATAGTTTGGCTATTGTGGACATTGCTGCTATAAACATTGGGGTGCAGGTGCCCCTTTGGATCACTACATTTGTATCTTTGGGGTAAATACCCAGTAGTGAAATTGCTGGGTCGTAGGGTAGCTCTATTTTCAACTTTTTGAGGAACCTCCATACTGTTTTCCAGAGTGGCTGCACCAGCTTGCATTCCCACCAGCAGTGTAGGAGGGTTCCCCTTTCTCTGCATCCTCGCCAACATCTGTTGTTTCCGGACTTGTTAATTTTAGCCATTCTGACTGGTGTGAGGTGGTATCTCATTGTGGTTTTGATTTGGATTTCCCTGATGCTGAGTGATATTAAGCACTTTTTCATGTGTCTGTTGGCCATTTGGATGTCTTCTTTGCAGAAATGTTTGTTCATGTCTTCTGCCCATTTACTGACTGGATTATTTGATAGCCTCAATTTTCTAATAGTCCTTGAAAATCTGAAGAGTTGCCTGTTAAATAAATAACCTGGAATGGAATTCTCAACATATATTTTACTCATGTGTAGGGCCCCAGCTGAAAGGGGGTCCAATACCAGGGGTCTTCCTTCATCTTGAGCTTTTCAAAGCAGAAAAGGAAGCCAGAATGTGACTTGATTAGAGACAGTATTAGGGAATAAAGCCAATCATTTAGGAGATAAAAATTTGATTTTATCTTTTCTTAAAAAAGTTTTTTTTACAAGCCATTACAAAATCCCCATGGAAAACAAAACATAAAAGTTTCATAACTTCCCAGAGATTCTGCTATATCCCATAGAGGGCTAGGACTTATGCAAAGCAAATTTAGAGACTATATTCTATGAACTCTCACCAGCCAAAATTTTTCTCAAGCCTCACTTTTCCTGGTCTGTATTAAGAAGAAAATAAGGTCATTTTGTATTTTCCAAATAGAATATTTTAGAACACACATATATACCCTAATTGAAAATCACAGCTTTATTTTTATTTATTTATTTTGGGGAGGGGAGGGGCAGAGGGAGAGAGAGAATCCCAAGCCCCAATGTGGGGCTCAATCTCATAACCCTGAGACGACCTGAGCTGAAATTAAAGAGTCAGACACTTAACTGACTGAGCTACCCAGGTGTTGTGACATATTAAATGGCATTGCCATTAATATTTGTTGACCAAGACTGCATATCCAATTACTTATTATGTGACCATCTTCCTGTTAATTTGCCATTTCATGATCATTAGCATCCAAGGGTCTAGAAGTCTGATCTTAGTTTTGCCCCTGAGTGGGGGCGTGGGGTCTGTGTATGTCTCTTCAATGACTTTTGTACTTTGTAGGTACTCAATAAATGTTTTGAACTAAAACAAAACAAAACAAAACTAATATGTATTGAGCACCTATTATAGATCACCATCATACTAAGGCAGCTGCACATACAACTGCATGTTATCTTCATATAAAAACATACTGGGGCACCTGGGTGGTGCATGTCTGACTCTTGATTTTGGTTCAGGTCCTGATCTCAGGATTGTGGGATCGAACCCCAAGTCAGGCTCCGCACTCAGCACAGAGTCTGCTTAAGATTCTCTCTCCCTCTCCCTTTGCCCCACACTTGCTCTCTCAAATAAATAAATATTTTTTTAAAAACCGTATATTTCATACTTACTACCATAAAAAAATTTTAAAACCTAATCAATGAGTATGGATCATATACATAGAAATATATCCAATATAATGTTAAGTAATCAAAATAATCTATAAAAACACTATATTCAGTATAATTTCACTTATATAAAATTATGTGTTTGTATCTAAATA